GGAGATCAGATTTTTTTTTTTTTTAATCCTGAAAGAAGAACGATGAACCAAACACTTTATCAATGAGAGAAGAAAAGAAACATCCATCCAGTTTCTCCTCAGGAACTATGTGGTTAAGAAGAATGGACAGTGCTGAGAGAAAACTCCCACAAATCTGTTTTTTTTTTTTTTTAAGAGGGAAAAAAACCCCACTAAGCGTCTAACTCTGTACCTTAAAAAATTATCCTTCAAAACTGAAGGAAAAAAAAAACTTTCTCAAATAAACATAGGTGGAATTTGTTGTCAGAACATCTATCCTGCAAGATTTGTTAAAAGAAGTTCTTCAGAGAGAAGGAAAATGATGTAGGTCAGAAACTGAACCACAGAAAAAATTCAACAACACCAAAGAAAGAGTGCATGAAGGTAAAATTATGATGATGTTTCTTGTTTTAATTATTAAATATTATTTTAATTATTAAACAGATAACAATTTATTCAAAACAATAATAGCAACAATGTATTTGATTAAACATGCTTACTCAAATAACTTATATACTTACACACACCTAAGAGAAATGACTGACACTGGTGACACAAGAAGCAGAAGGGAGGAATTATGATTTTTTTTTATTATTAAGTACTCAGACTAACCATGGAAACATACAATGTTACTTATTATAAGTTTGGATTAATTGTAAAAGTGTATTTCAATTCTAGGGTTACCACTAAATAAAGCTTAAATAAATAAATAAGAAATAGGGCTAAGAATGGAGGAAATCAATAAGGACATAGTTGAACTCAAGACTCTCATCAATCAACTGTATGTAGCTGACATCTACAGATTACTTAATCAAAAACAGCAGAATACACATTATTCTCAAATCCATACAGAACATTCACCAAGGTAGACCACATTCTGAGCCATAAAACACACTCTAACAAACTAAAAGGATAAAATCATCTAATGTCTTCTTTCAAACTACAATGAAATTAAATTATAAATCAATAGCAGAAAGATATCTGGAAAATGCCAAAATATGTGAATTTTAAACAACACACTTCTTTCTAAATAGCACGAATCAAAAATAAATCTCGGGTGATATTAAAAAGTATTTTGAAAAAAATAAAAATGAAAACACAACTTATCAAAATGTACAGGATGCAGTAAAAGCATGCTTGGAGGAAAATTTATAGCATTGAGGACATATATTAGAAAACAAGAAAGAATTAAAATTGATCATATAGGCTTCTGCCTTAGGAAACTAGACAAGGAACAAATTAAGTTCAAGGCAACCAGAAGAAAAATAAAATAAAATTTGAACAGGAGTCAATGAAATTGAAAATAGGAAATCAATAAACAAAATCAATAAAACTAAAAGCTAGTACTTTAAAAAGAAATCAATAAAGTTGATATGCTTTTAGTTAGGCTAAGAAAGGAGAGAGGATACACAAACAAATCAATCTCCCTAAAGAAGGACAAGACTTCACTACAGATCCCCTGAATATCAAAAGGTCAATAAAGGAGTTCAATGAACAATTCTAAGCATATAAATTTAATAACCTAAATACAATGAATCAATTCCTTGAAAGATGTAATCTGCAAAAACTCACACAAAATGTAACCTAAAATCCAAATGAGTCTATATCTCTAAAGATATAGAGAATCAGTAATTAATCACCTTGTAACAGAGAAAGCAAAGGTTCAGATGGTTTTACAGATAGATTCTACCAAACATTTAAGGAAGAAATTGTGCTAATTCTCAACATCCAAAAAAAGAAAAGAAATGCCACAAAATCCAAAGTATTAACAGGAAATAAACTCCTGTGACGAATAATTGGTTATAGTAAGGTTTCAGTATACAAAGTTAACATGCAAATTTAATCATTTTTCTTTATATCAGTAACGAACAAGTGGGATTTGAATTAAAAACCCCAAATCATTTATGTTACCATTACCAAAAATAAAAATCTTATGTATAGCCCTAAAAAGTATGTGCAAGATCTATATAAGGAACATTATAAAACTTTGTTGAAAGAAAGTAAGGAATATATAAATAAATTGATAGATATTCTATATTCATTGAGAGAAAGCCTTAATATTGTCAACATGTCAGATCTTACCAACTTGATCTATAAATCTGATTCATTCCCAATAACTTGTCAAATTATTCTCAGTTTATACGGAGAGACAAAAGACTCAGAATACTCAATACAGTGTTGAAAAAGAACAATGTTGAATGACTAATTATAACTGACTTCAAGATATATTATTAAACTACAGTAATCAAGGCAGTGTGACACCGGTGCCAAGGACCTGAACAGACACTTCTCAGAAGAGGATACACAATCAACAAATATATGAAAAAATGTTCAACATCTCTAGCAATTAGAGAAATGCAAATCAAAACTACTCTAAGATTTCATCTCACTCCAGAATGGCAGCTATTAAGAATACAAACAACAATAAGTGTGGGTGAGGATGTAGGGAAAAAGGTACACTCTTACATTGCTGGTGGGGCTGCAAATTGGTGCAGCCAATATGGAAAGCAGTATGGAGAATCCTTGGAAAAATGGGAATGCAACCATCGTTTGACCCAGCTCCCACTCTTTGGTCTTTACCCAAAGGACTTAAAAACAGCATTCTACTGTGACACAGCCACATCAATGTTTATAGCAGCACAATTCATAACAGTTAAACTGTGGAACCAACCTAGATGCCCTTTAGTAGATGAATGGATAAAGAAAATGTGGTATATATACACAATGGAATATTACTCAGCATTAAAAGAGAATAAAATAATGGCATTTCCAGGCAAATGGATGGAGCTGGAGAATAAAATGCTAAGTGAAATTAGCCAATCCTCAAAAAACAAATGCTGAATGATTTCTCAGATTTAAGGATGCTGATTCACAATATGCTGGGGGGAATGGGAGGATGAAATGAACTCTAGATAAGGCAAAGCGGAAAAGGGGAGAGAAGGTTAGGTAGGGGGCATGGGGTAGAAAAGACAGTGGAATGCGATGGTCATCATTACCCTAAGTACATGTATGAAGACATGAAGGATGTGACTCTACTTTGTGTACTACCAGAGATATGAAAAATTGTGCTCTATATATGTAATATGATTTGTAATGCATTCTGTTTGTTGTCATCTATAACAAATTAAAATTTAAAAAGAATGAACTATTGAAAAAAAAAGAAAGAAAAGAATGTACCCATCTGATCTTCAACAATGGAGCAAAGGCAACACTACAGAACAAAGATACTTCTTTCATAAAGTGGTGCTGGATATCTAGACATCCACATGCAAGAGAATGAATCTAGCTCTTAAAGACCCTTCATCAAAGATGATGTATAACTGACAAATGAGAATATGACATATTCTCCATATGCTATGTCATCAGGGAAATGGAACGTCAAACAATGAGTTTCCACCAAATGCCTATAAAAATGGCCAAAATACAGAAGGTGAGGCCACAGAACACTGAGGAGCATCCCTCACGTGCATTCCTAGTGGGAATGCAAAATGTTCCAAACCTGGAAAACAGTTTGGTAGTTTCTTTCTTTTTTAAAACATGTTTTTTAGTTGTAGTTGGACACAATACCTTTATTTCACTTATTTATTTTTATGCGGTGCTGAGGATTGAACCCAGGGTCTCGCACGTGTCGGGCGAGCTCTGTATTGCTGAGCCACAACCCCAGCTCCTGGCTTGGTAATTTCTTAAAAAAAAAAAAAATGCTATTATCATATGAACTGGCAATCATGCTCTTGGTATTTATCAACTTATGTCTATATAAAAACCTGAACATGGATGTCTATAACCCTTCTACTTATATTGTCAAGACTTGGAAGTGACCCAGATGTCCTTCAGTGAGTGAATAGATAAGTAAACTGTGGTACTTCCAGATAGTGAAATATTATTGTGCACTAAAAAGCAATGAGCTATGAAGCCATGAAAAGACAGGAAGGAAACTTGAGTGACAAAAGTCCATCTGTAAAGCTATGTACAGCTATGTGCTATGGAATTCCAACCACATGACATTCTGGAAGAGGTGAAATATAGAGACAGTAAAAAGATCAGTGACTAGAAATTACAAGGGAAGGAAGGAAGAGGAGGAGGACTAGGTAGCAGTTAAACTGTTTTGCCTTACATTACAATGGTAGATACATATCATCATATATTTTTCCAAACCCCCAGAATGTGTTCATCAAGAGTGAATCCCAATGAAAACTAGGTATTCTGGGTGGTGATGGATCAGTATAGGTTTATCAGTTGTAACAAATGCACCAGAATGGTAGGGATATTGATGATGAGGGAGGCTATGCATTTCTTGGGGACAGGGATATATGGGAAATCTCTGTAGCGTCCTCTCTATTCTGCTGAGAACCTAAAAGTGCTCTAAAAAAAAGTTAAGGGAAGAGAAAACTAGGAATAGAGAAGAACATCAAGAAGATTAGTTCAATCAAGGAGTCTTCAGCCTGATTACTTCCAGCTTCTATCATACAGTTGTGGTAATTCTTCCTCACCAGTTGCTGGGAGTAAAAAGTTATCTGTAAAGTTCAGATTTGCCCATTAATTTCTTACTTTGAGACATGGTGATCTCAGTACCTTGCCTAAGAAGGTTAGGAGTGCAGAACAAACATCTAGTAGGAGTTGAAGAGGATTCTTTTACATGTGTCATCCCACTTAATTTCCATATATGTACTTGGGTTATAGTTCACATCCAACAGTTGAGACCACATATCTCAGAGAGGCTGAGTAACTTCCTCGGTATTATATAGTTGGTGAGTGGAAAGGCCAGAATTAAAGCAGAATGGAGCACTCTTTCTTAGAATTAAACTTTCCTTGTGAAAATAATGAACTTGGTGTGGGAGGTATGTTTTATTCAAATCTGGGTTCTCAGTCCATGAAGTACTTCTCATTACTGCACCCCCAGTGACCCCAGTTCCTCTGCAGAAGCTGGAGCCCAGAAGCACTTGGCACATATCTCATTTGATACTGATCAGGAAGAGCCAAACCTTTGTGCTGTTGCCGAACCACCAGAAATAGGTAAGTGTCCCCAGTTGACTGGGCCACACAACGGCACTGATGTTGACCTCTTTATTTCTTATGGCAACAAATGGAACTCGGAGGTGAACATGCTCCACAGGACCTAAAGGAACAGGAGGAAAAGAATTAGTTTTTATATTCATAGAAGAAACCATCAAACTTTATCACACTCCTAGATTCTTTTTTAAGGCATTTTTTTATATTCATTTTTTAGTTATAGGTAGACATAATAGGTAGACAAAATAATTTTTAAATTATTTTTATATGGTGCTGAGGATCGAACCCAGTGCCTCATACATGCTAGGCAAACACTCTACCTCTCAGCTACAACCCCAGCCCTTAGATTCTTAACCTTAATCCCTATCAAGCATTCCCTATGATAAAGCAATAATCACAACCCACAAATGTTGGGAAGGGTCTCTACACTTGAACTGAAGTACCTGGTAAAACAGGGAACTTAACTCAGGTTTCAGATTTCTTGAGTGATAACCAAATTGAATTTACATCTGATAAACACAACTTATGAAACAAATGCTTATGAATTTCCAATCCAAGGACAAAGCTAGTTTACTACACACTTGGCCACTGAAAAGGAAGATAAACAGCAGTCTGTTTCATTTCTAACGATTAGCATGTTTTGTGATTTGGGGTCAATGCATTATATGGAGGGCTCTCCCATTATCCTCAATTGTTAATTGGTTTCCATCTTCTTCAACAATGGGCCATTGTGTCTCATCATCTGTAGGACACAGTGAGTGTCGTTCAGAAGCTGGCAAGGCCTTTTACAAAGAGAGAAAAGTACATCTCCCTAATTTGAAGGAGAAACAAATGCCAGGTTCTCAAATAATAAAAATGCTGTATTTCTCCTTTTTTTTTCCCAGAAAACTGGTATAACCAGCATTGAGCTCTATATTAGCAAATAAAAAAATATACGCAGACACGCCCTAGGCAGGAGATGTGAGGAAGTTAATGCATTCATTTCCAAAAAAAAAAAAAAAGAAGAAGAAGAAGAGAAAAAACACTGATGAAAAATTATTAATACATTAGTGATGTATTGTACGGGGGCGGGTAGATTCATTATTTTTCAACTGTGGCATTTTCTCCTCCTTTCATTTCTGACAACATGGACCACCCAGAGAGCATTGCATTAAGTGAAAGAAATCCAAGCACAGAACAATTTCTATCAGATGATCCCATTTATATGTGAAATCTTAAACTGTTAGAAATTACAGAAGCAGAGGGTACCTTCGTGGTTGACAAGGGATGGCAGAAGTGGGGTTGGGTGGATGCTGATCAAAGAAAACCAAGTGTGCAGAAGATAGGAGGAAGAAAGTCAAGAGGTCTATTGTACCATGGTGACTATGGTTAATAAGATTGCATTGGATTTTGAAAATCACTAGAACAATAGATATAAGTGTTCTTACCACAAAAACTAAGTTGGTGAGGTGATGCCTATGATAATTGGTCTGATTGAGCCATTCCACAGTGAATGTTTATTTCAAAACATCATGTTGTACATGATAAACTTGTATAATTTTTGTCAGGTTAAAAAATTAATGAAGAGAAAAAAATAGAGGAATCTGTGTATGTGCAGTCTGAAAATGTTTTCTGCCTACAGTTCTATGCCCTGACTCCAGGCATATGGCACTGCAAGATTTTTTCTAGCAAATAATTTCAACCTTGTCACTTCATGTGCACATTTGGCTGAACATTTAATTATTTTAAATAAGCAAATCTGTATTATTTCTGTATGGTTTGCTCAATGTCACTCAAAGAACACAAGAGTGGGGAAACAATATTGGCTACTTCTGTTTATTTACTCATTTTCCTAGGAGCTTACCTGACTAATGTCTTTAGCTCTTGAGCTTTACTGGTCAACAAGGATACAGAAGCTGGGGCCAGGGGCCCCTGCTATCCCCTCCCAGGCAGAAGATGAAGACTGGCTTCCCTCTTCCTGCATTGACACTGAGGTCTTTCCCAACCTGGGTTCCAATGACTTATTCTTCCATCAATGGGGGGAAAAAATTCTTTTTCATCACTGAGTTTGCTCCAACACCTACTTCACCAAATAGAGTGAAACCCTTCCCCAAGATGCCTCATGGGAACCCTGGGCTTTCCCACAGCTCAGCATTGTGCACAATGCCTTAAGAACCTGGAAATTCTCAGCTTTCTGTCACTTGAGAAACTTGGTTTAGTCAGGGTAGATGCTGAAGGTTACTGTGATGCCCAAAATCATAAAGGAAGATCTCCTTCACCTTGAACTCACTCCAGAAACAAAAGGGGGTGGAGCTTACATAATTGGAATACCACCCAACATGGTTACATTTATTACAGTTTTGGATCAAGAATATTTAGTTAAAAACAATCTTAAGAAACAATACCATGTAGGAGACAAAACATGGGTCAGTGAGGAGAGAAGAGAAGGGAGGGATTGAGGAGGAACACAGAAAAGTTCCAATATCCTCACTGTCAAATAGTGACCTTTCTGATAAAAATCTAATAATCTGTGTGAAGTTGACTATTATGGGTGAGTAGCAATACTTTTGTTAGTTAAAGGCCCAGGGTGGGGCCAAGAGCAGGTTCCACTGGTAAATATGGCCATGATTGATTTGGAGGGAATTAGGAGCTGATAAAAGTTTCAAGAAATATTTCCGTTTTCATGCACATAACCCACAGCACAAACCTGGCCCTCGCTATCATGTTTTTGGCACTAAGATATGGTGGTCTTCACACCTGCAGTCAAGGCTCACCCTTGGCAGAATCAGGAACAACCTGGGTGGGGCAAGTTCTTGGAACAGAGGAATGTAAAGTTATTTTTCTTTCTTTGTCTTCATTTTGGAAGACAGCAGAAGTGTCAGGGAGGAAGCTAACAGGAAATCCTAGTAATTGCTATAATAACAGGTAACATTCATCATGTGCCAAGCTGGGTGCAATGCAGCATTCTGCCCACTGCAGAAGACAGAACTGAAACTGCTATCATTTAGAAAGGTCTATGGTGCAAGGCTGGCCCTTGGCCAGTGTCTGGGAACTTGGCTCTGGGAGTGTTCCCAATCAACAGTTAACTAACTAGGAGGAGTGGTTCACTTTGCCTAAATTGGCTTTGCAAACAGTGTGGATTTTTGTGAACACCCACTTTCCACAGGGAGTTGGGAGGTTTGGAATATGCCAGGCTGACCGTGCTCATGTGATCAGCTTCCAATAAAAACTATGGGCACTGAGCCCCTAATGAGTTTCTCTGGCAGACAGCCTTTATGTTGTTACCTCCCACCCCAAGAGGAATCGGCACATCCTGTGTGATTCCACAGGGAAAGGGCCTGTGGGAGTTGATGCCTGGTTTTCTCTGGGCTTTGTCCCCTGCAACCTTTTCTTGATTTTGCTTTGTATCTTTTTGCTGGAATAAATCATAGCCATGGATGAGGATGAAGCTACATGCTGAGTCCTAAGAGTTTCCCCAGTTTATCATCAAGCCTTGGGGTGGTCTTGGGGCCCCGACACACACACACACACACACACACACACACTATCCAATGACTCTCTCAGATTCCTTATGAACTTTGTTTTAAAGATGAGGAATCAGAGGTTTAAAAGGTGAAAAAGTTGACCTAAGTTAGACATTTCACAAAGAAATAGGATGGATTCAAGTGCAGGTCTCCCTTGCTCTAAAAACTGCACTCATAAATACTGTGCACACTAACCCACCTATTCAGGCTCCTGCCTTGGTGTTTCCAGTCCAGAGTGATTATAGTCCATATCTGTTTTACCAAAAAAGGCCCATTTCTTGCTGCACCTCCCCTTCCTCAACAGATGTAAATCCTGCAGAGCAAGACCATATTGTGGTCTGCCCAGTGCCTGGCAGAATGTCTTGTATGTATTAAGAACTCAGCAAATACTTGTTGAATGAACCAATAAATGACTAGGTGCTTTATTTATTTTTTTCATTTGTACTATTGTAAGAACCCTATGAGGTAAAGTAGCAGAATTAAACCATTGTAAAATGGGAATTTTAAATTAAATTATACCATTTTAAAAAGTGTAGAAAGCCCCAAAAAGAAATCATTTATCTCAATGTCACATGTTTTTAGGGACATAATTGCTCTACAGTCCAGGTCTCCACCTACATGCTCCACATTCCTCACTGTTGCTCCTTGTACTAGGGGACTAGGTCGCTTCCTGTTAATCAGGGACCTCTTAGATGTGGATTGCTTATACAGTGGAAATCATACCATCATTGTGTTGTTAATACACAATGAATACAGGGAGTTCACTTCAACACTTTGAAAACTCGTAATTTCCACCTAAATGACATGTAATGTGAAAACTATCATGGGGTATAAAGTGGTCCCTGCTTATCCACAGTTTGCTTTCTGCTATTTTATGACCCACAGGCAATGGTACTCTGAAACTCTTAAAGGGAAAATTCCATAAATAAACAACTCATAAATTTTAAATTGCATGTCATTCTGAGTAGCATTATAAGTAGCATTACAAGTCTCTAAATTCCACATGGGTAGACGCCTCAATCTTCTGGTTTGAATCACTATTAGACATACGGAACCCAGTCTCAGCTCTGAATTCCAGGAAGAAGGAGTTGCCACCGGGAGGAAAGAGAGAAAGGGGCTGGCTCATGCCACTTACAAACCACATGCAGGAAGAGGACGGCTGTGTCGGAGCCAAGGCTGTTCTCTGCATAGGCCGTCACCTGGAAGATCCCCGCACTCTTGTACACGTGCTTGATGCCATCTTCAATTGGGCTGAAGTTAGCATAGGACACGGCAATGCCATCCCCAAAGTCAAGCTGGATGTTTGTCCTTTGGAGATCACCCTGCAAGGGAAGAGCCATCGGCCTGGGTCCATTCACGTAGTCCTGCCTGACTTCCAATGCGATGCTTCCTCCTGTTGATCCTTCAGCATCACCTTCTTAAGACCTATAGTCTTTCCCAGGAGGCAGAATCACCTTACTACAACCATCAGACTCCTCTCTGGAAGCCACTAGGCACTGTGGGCAGGCACTGTGGACCTATTGTCCCTGTATGTGCAACCTTGGGACATCCGGAATTGCTGTGATACTGGCCACAGTGGGCAAGGTACAGCCTTTCTGAACTCTGAAGTAGGGAAGCCAAGGGCTTTCCTAATCCCTCACACATGGTTTAATTCTTCATAAAAATAATAGCAATAATAGTAACAGCTAGCACCAAGGTTTGTATCAGTGCCAAGCAATTAATCTCCTCATAACCCTGTATTGTAGAAAGTATCATTGTCCCCATTTGTAAATGAGGACAAAATCATCAGACTAATGTCACATAGGCAATAGTGGAAGACTCAAGTTTTGAAAGCAGTCTAACTTTAATGCTAATACTCCCAACCACAATTCTATAGCTATCATTGTTTCTATTTCTGAGCATTTATTGTTGCACTCTAAAAGCTAGGTTAATCACTTACACATCTCCTATAATGCCATCTTCAAAATTACAATATAAGGTAAGATGATCATTCCCATCCAGATGAATACTCTATACTATTCTAAATTACATATGTGTTCCCTTGTCCTTGGAATTCTTGAAAACTACCTAAGCCCCCTGTTCTCTGAAGCCTCTACTGAATATCATGGCTCACAGGTATCTCTGCCTCTTGGAAGGCTAAGAGCATCTTGGGTGCTGGCTGGTGATGTGATGTTGATGGTTCAGGTGTGTACCTGATACCCTCTTAAGCCAGCACTTATCTTCTTGAGGAATGATGCTGAACCCCACCCTTCCTGTCTTACCCTTTGGATAAATGTAGTCAACCTGAGTCCCGAGCAGAGATGCTGGATAAAGAAGAACAGGGTACTTCTGTTCATATTCAAAGATGGATGATGGAATAAAAAGAGAAATACATCATTTTGGAATAATGAGCCAATATTCTGCCCAGTATTTGTGTACTGGCCACAGGTTCACTTTCCATCTTCCTCCATGGCAACTTAGATGTGAGTGAAATATTGATAGTTGCTCTCTTGACCCCTACACAATGTCAACTACCCTTGAGTTTATAAATATAAATTAAAGTGGAAATGAATCCAAGGTAATTCAAATGGATAAGATCATGGCTCTTCAAGTCCATTCAAGAAAAGGTTTTTATAGCTCTATTCCTGAAAACTCCCTAATGAAAATGTAATAATGACCTCCTCTGAATCTTAAAGTCCTTTAATTCAAGCAACTGGTGTGGAAGAGGCCAAGGAATCTGTCAACCTAGGATAAGAAACCTTCACCATAAAGTCTAGTGTGGTCCTGACTTTAAAGACTCTAAAATGCTCATACATGTGAAAAAAAAAAAAAAACCCTCCTGGCTGGCTTTGCTCTCTTTCCATGCTATCAAGAGCACAGAGCAATTTGCATGTAAATTTAGAGGGCTTTGTCAATCAGGGAACCTTCCTGCTCCACCACCTCAGCAGAGTGCCTGAGAAGGCCCTGGTTTGGGAAGAAGCTAAACAGCCCCCACAGAGAACAAGAAGCAGACAGCAGTGCTTCTTCTACCCTAGAATGAATACACGCATCTGATTTTACTGCTCGGGTTGCAAAAGACACTAAAAATCTAATGGTGCAGGTAGCTGATGTGAAAGCAACTAATAAAATATTCTTTACAAAGGTAAGTCTAAGGCATTTCAATCATCTTTCCACTCACATACTTCTAAGACTCTCAAAGCGTTGTGGGCTTTTCTAATCAGCTAAGGGTGCACTGACCACAGGTTCACTTTCCATCTTCCTCCACGGAAACTTAGATGTGAGTAGTGTTAGTTAATGCTACATCAATCTATGCTTGGTGCTTGGTCATTTATTATAGATCCAGTGGCAGGAAGAATTACCATAGTGATTTGTATAACAATATGTTGTTTATTAATAAAGTTATATTGCAAGGCACATTCTAGTTTAGTTGTTTCTCATAAATTTGTCAGGGTGATATGATAGCATTCTTTGAAAAAAAAAAGGCTATTATCTGTTTCTTTAGTTTCTGCTTTTTCCAGATAATATTTCCTCTATTATGTAAAAAGAGACTCCTAAAAGCAATGGATGCATTTGAATTTCCTTTTCCTGGCAGTTTACAGTTTATGACCTACTGGTGATAAACATTTCCTAAGCAGACCCTAAGGAGGACCCTGAAAATATTTCCAGAGCTGCAGGCTTCAGAGGCAAGTGGGGTCCCACTGCAGACAGGTCTTCATTGTGGAATGAAAGGAAATGGATCTCAAAACACCCCAAGCTTTCTTTCCGGCCACTCTCTTCTGCAGAAATCTCTGATTCACACTCTAGACTGTGGTACAGGAGCCTCTGGAAATGGAAGGTCTTTGTTTTCTTCCCTTTCCGAGTTTAGACCTCAGAGACCCCGGTAGGCTCCTACCTCTTCCATGAGGATGATGAAGGTTGCATTGTGTCCCTGCTCTGCCACCAGGCGCCCATCAGTCGTCACCACATGGAGGCCCCGAGGGGCTTTTCCAGGACACAACTGGGCCTTGGCGGAGTATTTGTCCCTTACTCCATCAGTGCAATTATTGGACACAATCCTCCGGTACCTAAGAGGAATTGACAATTGACAGTACTGAGCTTTGTGTCAAGCATGTGAGCAAGTGTGCACATTAGAAAGAGAGCTAAAGCAAGAGAGATGCTCCCCGCAGCTGCCCCTAAAACCAAGTCTCCAAAAAAGACAGCCATTTATGAAGATAAACAAACGTGGAGGAACTGCTATCCTTCCATCTCCGGGAGAGTAGCTCCTTAAACATTACTATTGATCCTACCCGGTGAGCTGCGGATCGGATCAGTGTCTGAACCAGCCAAGAAAAATCAATGTCTGACTCACATACAGCAGTAGAGGAGGCAGACCATTGGACAAGAGAAGCAGGAAAAGTCAGTGCATCTGTCTGTCAGGGAAGAGCCAGCTGTATTTACCCAAGCCACCTCCAGCTTTCCCCATACCAGAGAGCAGCTAGAACATCAGACTTCAAACTCTCATTAATCAGGAGGCCTCTTCCTGCCTTCCTTTCATGTCCCAGATGACATTTCTTCTCCTAATACCTATGGCTCTTACTCTGGAGCCAACTGAGCTATTTCATAGCATATTTTCTCTCTTTGATAATATTTCATTTCCTACTCAACACAAATGTCAGATTAGAAGCACAGGTTTAAGACACCGGTTTAATCCTGGTAAATTTACCTCAAGGAAGAGAAAACTTCCCTACAAAAACAATCAGTGTTCTGACAAAACCACATTACATAAATGTACCTCCATCACCAACCACCACCATCACCATTATCATTACCACCACATCTTAGCTTCTTTCACCCTCTCTGTCAGGAATAATTAACCACTCCATCCATGTTGCCGTCTTCTGGCAGTCTCAAATACAGGGGAATACAAATTCTTCTGGAGTGATATTGGTCCTCCATTAGACCTGACTTTCCCCATAGGTTCTCCACTACTGCACTACCTACTGCATAGCCCATCCAGAGATCTCAAGGAGAGGTTAAGCAAATGTTTTCCATAGTTGTTTTCTCAGATGAGAAGACAATGCACCCTCTTGCAAATGTGCATCATTATTGTTCACTGTCAATTGAGCTCATGCCAGGAGTTCTGCTTCCCAGCACGGCAGTCGCTTTCTACAGGTGACTACTGTGCACTTGAAGTGTGGTTAATGTGGCATATTGCAATGATAATTTTTATATATCAGGTTAAATTATACATATTATCAAAATTAATTTTACTTTTTAAAAAACTTTAATGTGTGACTATTAGAAAATTTTTAACTACATAGCTGGTTCACACTATTGTTCTTTTGGTCATTACTGATCAAGATAATCAAATATTCTAATCATATTAGACTTTCTTTCTGATCTTTAGTCACAAGATATTTAATTTTTACTCTTAATACATATTTCAGTAGTCTTAACTCAAACTTGCTATCATCTATCCTCCCTCTTTAACCTCAACTAGCCATCAGCTCAAGCTGGTTGGTGATTTGTAATATCAGCCAACACTAAAGAAACTCGAAGAGTGAATCCCTGAGGGGAGGGTGCAAATAGACTTTCCCTTTCATTTGTGTGATTTATTTGGTTAGCTATTTGTTGTTTTGTTCACCAGAATTACTTAAATTGGACCTACTTATACCCAACACATGTATATTAAGACATACAAGATGTCCTAATGCGATCATTTTCTAGTGATGTGTAAAGAATGGTGTGGTTGTCACTTGGATGGTCCACCTGATTCTTTGTAACTATATAGTCCCCTTCCTTAAACTTCCTAGAGTTTTGTTCTCTGACACCACATCTCCTTAAATGCAAGCTGTTGGATTTGCAGTTTCAGTGGCTTAAATCCCTAATCCAGGCTCTTATAATAGCCTAACATCAAAGACTCTAAAATCCCAGACTGGAATCCAGAAATAGCCCTCTCAAATCTTTAGAAGAGGTGATAATTGAGAGGACACCTTAGACTTTTGACACTCATAGCGTCTTCTGGAGACCAACATCATTCACATCAGGCAGGATACACTTAAAAATGAAGGGTCTCTACCTTACCCCGGATCTCTCAAATCAAGTTGCATTTAATCAAGATTATCAGATGCTATGTAGCCACATTGGAATGTGAGAAGTGCTATCAGTGCATCCATGTACTTGACAAAATCTCTTCTGCATCATAGAGGCAGCAAAAAAAGGCCAGACAACAAATCTCCAAGAAAATTGTTTTCAAGCATCTGAGAGATAACTAATAAGTGAGCAAAGAGAGAAACACACATCTAATTGGAGAATTCCCAAGAGTGGAACATGACCTTCTTATCCCAGGAGCTCCTAGGATGAGACTTAGGAATTCTCATTTGAAGTTTTCAGCATTGATGTATGAGAACATCCATTTCCCCTCTCCCCTGAGAGCACTGTAATAGCTGCACATCGCCTGTATCAATTTATTTTACTGGAGGCCCAAGGTACAAGGCAGCATCCCTTTCCAGAAGAGATATTTTGACCAAATAACAAGGAGGGTCTGCCAGAGGGAAATGGTAGCCAGTACTGAAGTGTGGGTGATCACAAATCTCTTCTGAGGCTTTCAAAAAGAAGCACTCTTAGCTAAATCACTCTTTTGTTTCCCTTACCTACTTGGCTAAAAACAAAACAAACAAACAAACAACAACAACAAAAAAAACAACTCTATATTCTCTCTTCCCCAACAGCCAGGCATTCCCTTTGATGCCACCATCAAAGTAAGGGGAAAACAATGAATCCAGTCTTCAGGTGTTTGACTTACCCAGTGCTGTTCAGGTAGCTCTGGCCAAGACTGCAGTCCTTTGATGGGGATGCTGGATTGTACCAGAAAGCTGGGACACACTGGCTTTCCCCATGTCTCTCATAGCCATAGTCGCTGTGGGGAGAATGAATATTACAGAATGATGCGCATGTATAAATGCGACAACACCACAGACCCATAAAAACATACACATGTCCTAATGCTATCTAAAAAGTCACAACATGTGGTTTTAAGCATTTCCAGTGAAGGCAGATACTCATACTTTCAAATGGAGTTTTAGATTTAGAAATAGTTCTGAGTCATTTGGAGTTGGTCAAGAGGGAGAAAAATGTGGATAATCCAATGGAAATTCTAGGTTAGAAAGGTATGGATTTAAATGATGTGACAGGTACACTGATTTGGAGGTGGATGGAGGATGATATATATACACACACACATACATACATACATATTTGGATCCAGAGATTGAATCCAGGGACACTTAACCACTGAGCCACATGCTTATCCCCCCGCCATTTTTTTTTTCTTTTAAATTTTGAGACAGGGTCTCACTAAGTTGATTAGGGCCTTGCTAAGATTCTGAGGCTATTTAAATTTAAAAGTATATTTGGGTCACAGTAGAATGAATCAGATAGGTAGATGACAACCAAGATGACATTAAAGATCAAGTTTTATGCTGTGATTTAATATATGCTGTTCCAAAATAAGTTTCATTGATTTTCATTTTTTCCTGAAAATTCAGTCTTTCTCAAATACTACATGTGCATTCACATAGCCATTTAAATTTTCCTGATTCAATATTTAAAGGCTTTCACATTTCCCTAAAAATATAAGTGTAGTTCTTTCCATGTTACTATAAAATTTCAGTAAGAATAAAGTGAAGAAAGTCAGGTATGATTTCCTTCCTTTCTCCCATGTGCAAAATGAGGAAGTAAAAGACCACTGCAGGAGGGGAAGGCCAAAGGCTATCTCCCTGCTTCTTGGTGTTTCATAAGGTTCCCAGGTGTGTAAATGTCAAAGTAAAAGGAGAGCAATGAAGTAGGTAAATGTGATCATTGCTCTCGTAACGAGCCAGAGGTCACTGAGGGTGGCTCCTCTTGGCAGCAGAATTTATGCTTCCAAGTGCAGCATCCAAGGGTGTCCTGAAGCCCACAGACTGGACAGCACAATCTGGGCATTTGAATATTGATCCACTGAGTGTTAAGAAAACATAGAGGAGCAAGGAAAGACACTGTCTCTGCACTGCCCCTGCTTTCTGCTGCTCTTATATTCTTTGAGCCAAAACTTTGTCAAATTTTAATGAAAACACAGGCAAATGATCTGTGTGTATCTATGGAGAGGAGAGAGGAACACCAACGTAATTCCACGCTTATCACCCAATGTATGCCCTGACCTTTAGAATAAATATAACAAGTCTGTCCTCAATTGATTTTCAGTCCTCTGGGGAGAGAGACACAACATACCCCAAATCCAGTTAAAGAGTAAATTAACAGCAAGAGACCAAGCACAAACTCATACAGTTCAGAAGTGATAACTGACCAATGAGATCTCGTACACTATCTGCCCACCTCATCCCATGTTCTTACCCATCTTCTTCCCCCAAACCCATAACTGGACACTTCTGGTCCTCTTTATCTTTGTGTTTATGCTTTGTTTGAAGCACTCTATCCTTTGCCTGTGTTTTGTGGTTTCCTACTTCTTCTTTAATATCTAGGCTGTATGAGTCTGTCTCTACTTCCCTAGACAAAAATCTTTGGAAACTGAAATGGAAACTACAAAAGAGCAAGGATCTTTGTCATTGTTTTCCACCAATTTGAGAGTCAACACCCAGCAGTACCTAGAAACTTCAGGTATTGAATAAATGCACATTATGTGAATGAATATGCCAGCCACCTCATAAATTACACCATTGAGTTGCATCTATTTCTGCAGGAAGATTGTGAGTCCACATGGATATTCTGGTATTAACCACAGAGAGTACCCTGAGTGCTCAGGAGGTAACTGTGGAGTGAATGTGAGTAGAAGATCTCTGCATGGAAAGGTAGAACTCAACATCAGCTTTGGCTGAAACTGGAAGGAAGGATAAAGGAACATCTCTGACAAGTAAATCCTTTGCTAAGCATCCTCACCGACTATTATACATAACCCAACACACAATTTATTAATTGCTTCACTTCATTCTATTGCTACTATCTATGATATCACTATCTATGATATATACTGCTAGGAAACTCTATAGTAACATATTTGATGTGATTTTTTATTTGGGCAGTAGGGGCTGGACCCAGGTTGCTATACCACTGAGCTATCTGCCCCCAGTTCTTTTTATTTTATTTGATACAGGGTTTCACTAAGTTACTTAGGGTCTTGCTGAGTTGCTCAGGCTGGCCTCAAACTTGCAATCCTTCTGCATCAGCCTCCTGAATGGCTGGAATTGTAGGCCTGAAACACTGTGCCTGGTTTGTCAATGTCCTTAAAGTCATTTGTATCTATTTGTAAGTATGGTAGTAATTATCTACAATAGAGATCCACTACCTCTCTCTTCCTATTCTACATTCACTGATGTCATGTTGGTGGCTTTCAACCTGCCGTGGTGGCAATATATACAACAATCAGTATTTGTTAGTTCCCAGAGAGCTGGGAGTTAAATATTTAACAGCACACCACCGAATATCTGATGCTAAGCATTATTTATGTGTGACTACACTGGGCTGTAGTATGGCTGTACTACGTCTAGAAAATTCTGCAACTGCTTTTTAAGGTGAAGCTATTGGCATGTCCAGCTAACCCTAGGAAATATTAGTAATCTGTAAAGGAAGGATGCTCTCTTAAGCAGCTCTGGGAAGGAGAGAGATGTTTTAATACTCTTTGCTAAATGTAACCATCTCTGGCAGTTCTGTTCAGCTCTGATACCTGTTAGTGATGCAGTAATTAAAGAAAGGTGCATCAGGCTTGCTGCTTTGCCCCAAAGAGCAAGAGCACCTCATTAATATTTAACAACTTTAGCAGAAACTGGCTGCCCCCAAGCTGTGGACTTCTTCATTAATTTCTGCTAAATGTATATTAAAATCTCCCATACTGTCCAACCTCCCTCCCCGCGCAGGAGTCTGCATGATTTAGACAAACAAGCAGCTCCAGCAGCTACTCCAGCTTCCTGGGGAAAGGTGTTCTGTTAAATTGTGAGGTTTGGACAGGATGCACCAGAAAGTTGGATTTGCCTCAGGGAAGTGTGCTGCCGCAGATTCTGCAAACACACAAGCAGTTTCCTTCAAGAAATAAGTCACGTATGTGTCCTTCTTGATTATAAAAGGGTTCGAACATCTCTGAGTTTAGGAAAAAATTTCCTCATTTCCAGGAACCTATATATCTTCCTTTGATTCTGAAAGAGGACCAGCTGGGATGGTCCAGAAATCCCAAACCCTCTGCCTATCAGAACAGGAAGGGATGCCCAGGCAGGCCCCATCCCTTCAGTTGGTGGATTGGAAAGGAAAACTTAAAAGTAACCAAAAAATGCCAAAGATTGTACATAACTGGGCATGGCAGATAGAGCTGACAATCAAGACTCTTGATCCCTGTTGAACATTAGAATGATCCTAGGTGACACCCCTTTAATCATCAGGCAGGGTCCCTGGTCCCCAAGAATGATGTTGTGAAACTCTTGGAACCAGTCAAATAGGCATGGTCTCTTCTACACAAGCTCCAAGCATCGTCCAAGCCTCAGACGATGAAGCGCTGTTGTTTCCTCCTGGACCCCTCCCTTCCGTCCTCTGTACCCTCATCTAGCAGTTGAGATTCAAGGGCTAATGTCCTACCGGCACATCTATCCCATTTTAGTTATTAGTGTAATAATGAGGATTTGGGATCTGGCAATTCTTACCAGGCACAGAGCAAGCACCCACAAAACAGACACAGAAAACCATCACCATCAAAACAAAGTATTAATTAATGTTGCGATCGTTTAGCTGAGGCAGATGCTTAAGTATGGCCATAGAGAAAGATAGACAATTATATCCAAGCCAATGCAGAAATTCTGTGCAAGACTCAACAAATCATTCCTCAAACATCTCTCCTGATCAAATCTCACTCTATCCATCTGTGTTATCCCCCTGCTTACCAACAACCTTATCCTCTCTCTGCTCTGTCAGTTCCTTATTCCCATCTTTGAAAGTCTGGTTATTTTTATTTAGCTCTTCAACAGCAAGTGCTTATGGCTCCACCTCTGCCTCTTGCAGAGAGCTTTCCTGGCTTATGTCAGCCTTCCATGGTCTCTTCCAACATCCCTAGCAGGTGTAGTCAGAACCAGTGCTGACTTTTCTCCAATGTATGCTTTTGGCACCTTTGTCAAATATAAGATGACTGTAATTATGTGGGTTAGTCTCTATGTCTTCTGTTCTGTGCCATTAGTCTACCAGTCTATTTTGCTGCCAATACCATGCTGTTTTTGTTACTATTGCTCTGTAGTATAGTTTAAGGTTGTATACTGATGCCACCTGCTTCACTCTTCTGGCTAAGGATTGCTTTGGCTATTCTGGGTCTCTTATTTTTTCAGATGAATTTCATGACTGCTTTTTCTATTTCTATGAGAAATTCCATTGGGATTTTGATTGGAATTGCATTAAATCTGTATAGTGCTTTTGGTAGTATGGTCATTTTGACAATATTGATTCTGCCTATCCAAGAATAAGGGAGATCTTTCCATCTTCTAAGGTCTTCTTTCTTTAGCATTCTGTAGTTTTCATTGTAGAGGTCTTTCAATTCTTTCATTAAGTTGATTCTCAAGTATATTTTTTATGCTATTTTAAATGGGGTAGTTTTCTTCATTTCCCTTTCAGAGGATTTGTCACTGATATACAGAAATGCCTTTGCTTTATGGGTGTTGATTTTGTAACCTGCTATTTTGCTGAATTCATTTACTAGTGCTAAAAGTTTTCTGGTGGAATTTTTTTGGGTCTTTTAGGTATAGAATCATATCATCAGCAAATAGTGCTAATTTGAGTTCTTCTTTACCTAACTGTATCCCTATAATTTCTTTCATCTCTCTAATTGCTCTGGCCAGTGTTTCAAGAACTATGTTAAATAGAAGTGGTGAAAGAGGGCATCCCTGTCTTGTTCCA